TTTTCTTGACTGTAATACAGTTTTCTGATCCAGAGATAACTGGGAGAACAGGATTGGGAAGAGGGAGTTCATCCACAGAGACTGTGTGAGGAACTATGTGAGTCTGGAAAAGTAAAGACACTGCTCCTACACAGAGATTCACATCTTCCCTTTTTTCTACAAAGGATGCAATTTATTGCTGGGGTGGTGCAGGCACTAAGGTGCACAGTTGGCAGCTGAGGGGTCACAAGTTTAAGGCCACAGCAGAGGTTTTTGTGTGCATGCCTGTTGCCAAGAAGGCTAACAGCATACTGGGTTCCACTGGTAGGTGTATTGCCAGGCAGTCAAGGGAAGTGATTATTCCCCTGTATTCAGCACTCGTGAGGCCACATCTGGAGTACTGTGTTCAGTTTTGGGCCCTCTACAACAGAAACAATGTGGACAAATTGGAGAGAGTCCAGTGAAGGACAACAAAAATGGTGAGGGGGTTAGGGGACATGACTTATGAGAAAAGACGGAGAGAACTGGGTTTATTTAGTCTGGAAAAGAGAAGACTGAGGTGAGATTTAATAGCAGCCTTCAACTACCTGAAGGGAGATTCGAAAGAGGATGGAGCTAGACTGTTCTCAGGGGTGGCAGATGACAGAACAAGGAACAATGGTCTCAAGTTGCAGCAAGGGAAGTTTAGGTTAGATATTAGGAAGAATTTCCTCACTAGGAGGGTAGTAAAGCACTGGAACAGGTTATCCAGAGAGGTGGTGGAAGCTCCATCCCTGGAGGTTTTCAAAACCCAGCTAGACAAAGCTTTGGCTGGGATGATCTAGTTGGGGATGGTCCTGTTTTGAGCAGGGGGTTGGACTAGAAAATGTCATGGGTGACTGGTGCTGCCTTAGTCACGCGGGGCACATGCCCCCCCCAGTGACCAGTTAGCAACTGGGGGGAGGGCGGGGTCCCCCTTGGCTGATCTCACTGACAGGGTGGGGGTGGGGGATCCCTCTGCAGCTGATTGCAACATGGCCAATCGCTGCAGCTGCTTCCAAAAGTGGCTATGGCTGCTTCCAGGAGTGGCTGCAGCTGCTTCTGGGAGCGCAACAGGCGCTCCACTCCCCGGTTGGTGCTTGCAGGGAGGGCACCAACGCTCCCACCTGCCCCCCCTACCCATCACCTAAGCAGTTAGCATGGCCAGTCAGGAGGTGTACTGGTGCTGTCAGGGGTTGCACATGCACCCCCGTGCACCCCCTACACATCACCACTGAATAACATCCTGATGTTCCTTCCAACCCTAACTTTCTATGATTTTCTATGGGGATTACTGTAGCCTCAGAGTTGCAATGTTGGCAGCAAAGCACTATGCAAATACCATTAATCCAACTTCTGAAGAGAAGGAATCATTTTTCTTGGCTGCTCCACCGAGATACCAGTGTTTTGTCTGCTATTTGGGCAATGTATTTGATAGGTATTTGAGTTTGCTGCCTTTTAGCTGGTGGCAAACTTTAACATTAAAGTTGAAACCAGAACTGACACACATTGAAGGAAAGGCATAATATGGCCCCACAGACTATCCAGGTTAAAAACTCACATTCCTTTGTAGAGTTTGGCTTTATGACCCAACATTAAAATGGAAATGCATAGTACTATTCGGACAAGGACACAGGAGCGTTAGAGTGGGATTCTATTACCTTTTGTTTGCCCAAATAACATTTACCCAGCTGTGTAAGTAAGTGTTTTGACACTTACAGGTTGTGATTATTACCTTTTGTTACTGCAGCATGGACGTCAAAGTGCTTGTATATATCTGGAGTCTGATTAGTAGACTATAATGGCTGGGCAGCTACAAAGCTTGGAAAAATAAGGAGGATGGTCCTCCCACATTTTAGCCTGACTAACTGACTGGTTACGCCACTGTCCCAGGAAGTAAGAAACCTGGCTTCTAGATCCCTGTCATCCAGAGAGAATTTGACTCTGCATCTCACTGACTTCTTAGGTGAGTGTCCTAACTACCAAACTGGCTACTGTCCAGTTTTTCCACTACATCTTGTGTTCAATAGTTATTGGATTAAATGGCTGGTAGTTAATGGATAAAATGTCTAGAGAGGTAGTTTCTGTAACCTTGGGAGAAGAATCCAGGCTAGAATCCAGGGCCTGCTTCCTTCCAGCACAGCAGCCATTTCATTGGCCCACACATCCGCTAACTTATGTTCTTCTTCTTGACCTCATATTTCCCACTCATGACTGACAAAAGGGCTAGTTTTAACAGAAGGTCTGGATGAAAATGTCCTATAAGAGCAAGGTGTTATTATTATTATTATTATTATTACCAAACAAAGTGGGGAGATTAGTTAAAAAATGTTAAGTGCTTTGACATTCTCTGATAAGAGTCAGTAGAAATGTGAAATATTATCATCTGAAAGGTTGCTTTTATAGCTTATATATTACCTTTGGCATTAAACACACTGATCATTTTATGTAAAACTGCTAATTCTCGTTTACATTCATGGAATTATAGAAAAAGAAGGGTTGCAATGGGTGTTAGGAGTTCATCTAGTCCAACCTTTGCATCAAGGGAGCATCATCCCTGTCTAAACCATTCTAGACAAATGTTTGTTGAACCTATTCTTAAAAATTTCACAAATAACTCTCTTGCACAACTACCAAGCACAATGCTCAAAACATCATAAACACTCTAACTTGTGACAGATAAAGCAGAACTATGTTGCTTTTGTTTTTTACTTATATTTGGTTTTGGTTTACTGCCCGGTTCTGTTCACTGTTACTTTTGATTCATTAATAAGCTTTTTTTCATTTAAAAATGTCTGCTAGGGCAACACTAACCAATATAGCCTGCTTCTGCTGCATGACATGGTCCCCCAGGAGGTGCTTGACACCTGTAGGGGGGCTGTCCCTAGGCCTCAGAGTGATCCTTCATTCTTTCTCTACTCTATAAGTCCCTTAGAAACTCCACCTGCCTCTGTTCCACCCTCAGATGCTAATTCTGGTCCCCTGGCCCATCCGTATCCTGTAGGTCACTAATCACCTTAATGGTTGTGACCGCTCTGCCCAGGACTGAAAGACAGAAACCTCTTGAGCATTTAGTGACCTGAGGCCCTGCACTTTGAGCTGTCAGGGTAGGGAGATTCATCCTTCCCCCACATCTATCCATCGCTGCATCGCAAAACCCACTCCCACCCCCTTCTAGCCTTCTTTTGGCCACAATGGCCTGGGAGAGGGCTGTGACCATGGGGATGGTCTGTAGTGGCAGTGGGTCTCCTCGCTCCCCTTTTATTCCCCTTTTCCCTCCAGGGACTTTGCACTTCCCCCAGTGCCTGTGTCCCAATCACATCTGTGTGGAGCAGGAGTGGACTGTACCTTCCCAGGCTGCACAGCATGCCCCATCAGTGCCTGACTCATCAGCAGGAGTGTGTGGTGTGTGTGTGTGTGTGGGAGGGTGGCATTGGGTCCTATAGGCTGTGCTGCAGTAGTGGCTGCTGCACTGGTAGTGGGTGGGTTGGGGTGTTTTGGAAGGGGAGCAGTGAGGTGTTGGAGTGGGAGCAGAACACCTGAGGCAGCTGTGTGGGGAGCTGTGTCCTGGGGCCCATGTTCTTGGCTGCAGTGCACAGAGTTGAGGACCAGGGACAGCGGGGGACTCCCATGAAATGGAAAGCACGGGCTTGGACTCCAGGTCCAGGGTCTCAACTTCCATGGAATCGGAGCTTTCCATCCACTCCTGTGCACCATGCTCCATGCTTTCAATCATGCTGGAGCAGATGTCAAGGAAGCTCGGGTCCAGCTTCAGGTGCAACTTGATTCCCAGATCCTATGATGGTGCCGAGAGCAGCACCAAGAGGGTGGACTCCTCAGGGGCCATTGCCATCAGCTGACCTCTTGCCCTGAGGCTTCCAGGGATCTCAGTTGGTTCCTGGGCACCTGCTTGTCCCATCATCCCAGAACCTCCCTATGCCTCATCCTCTGGGGTTCTCCTCAGCTCAGTGTCAGGTCTGTTTATACATTGTGGGGTGCAGGGGCACAAACTGGGGGCTCAGGTTTCCCCAGGTACCTGACACACATTGCAGGAAAGGCATAATATGGCACATGACTGCTCCAAACATCCATTGATCAAGCAGGGCAAATGTCAAAGTAAAAGGCAAGCAAAACAACAGGTCCCAGGGCTCATGCAGAGGACAGAGACGCCTCCCTTCCACACATTGTAATAGTAAAGCTGATTCTGTATGAATCAGACAGCCATTACTCGATACACAAAAGCCTGTTGCCTAGTCCCTCTAGATTAATGGATTCATGGAGATCTACAACTTTGTGGAAAACTGGCAGAGGGGAGCAAATGACACAACCAACAGCCCAGATGGTTGCTATTAAGAAATATCCATGTCTTGCTGTTAAATTACTAGAAAGGGGTTGTTTTGTCATGCAGTATCGAACCACAGCAATAGATATTAACATTAAAGTTAAAACCAGAACTAACGCACATTGAAGGAAAGGCATAATATGGCACATGACTGCTCCAAACATCCATTGATCAAGCAGGACAGATGTCAAAGTAAAAGGTGAGCAAAACAACATGTCCCAGGGCTCATGCAGGTCCCAGGGCTCCCTTCCTCCCCCACTGCCTGTCTGTGGCTGACAGATGGCTGGAGGGGCGGCAGGGCTAGGGGGAGGGGTTGTGCTGGCTCAGCTCTGGCAGAGTTCGGGGGTAGGGCCCACTGCACACTTGGCTGGAGCACCCTAGTGTGGGGCAAGTGCTAGGGTGGCTCCCTGCAAAAGAAGAGTGGGGGGTGGGGGAAGGTCGCAAAGGAGGCTGGGATGCTGGAGGACAGTGATCTAACTTGAACTGATTGTGGTTAAAGTCCTATACTGATGCCACTGTCTTGCTGACTCAGGATCCTTAATCCATATTTGTTCCTACAAGGTGTTTCAGCATTTCAAAACAGCAGAATATATATGATGAAAACCAATTTTTTTGTTTTTAAAGCAAGCAAACAAACACAACCAAAACCTGCTCTTTCCATCGCTTTTTATTCCCATTGTCATATTTCTCACTACAGTCAGGTCTCACCAGACTAAGTTCATGCTGACCAGAAGCAAAGTGCACTTTAAGGAGCTTTATCAAAATAATGGCAGAAATATATTTTATCTGTGTCCAGGTAAGACTGAAAACCATGTGAAATAATAGGATACCGTAAAATGACCAGAAAAAAGGAGTAATTAGGTGTACTAAGAGGGATGGAAACAGTCTAGAGGATAATGATAACCCGCCCTGTGAATAAGAAAGTCTGTAGAGAAGCAGCCAGAAGATCTGTTGAATTCTGGCAAGTGTGAGGCAGAGGTATGGGCGGAGCAGGAGTCCCATAATCAAATAAGGAGATAAATATGTTCTAATCACACCCAGAAACAGAAATTTATTTGTAAAAAATGGTTAAAATAGTCACATATTTATTCTGAACAATAATCATTTAGCGAAATAAATGTCTGGATTACAGCCTCACTATAATTGATATTGAACAAACAGTTGAAATAATTCATGTTAACTATTGATTTCTTGGACCAAGGTACACCTGAAACAATGTTTGCTTGAGCTGTAAAAATGTGTTTTGTACACTGGGCATGATTTCCTCCAAAGAAATAGGCAAGTAAAGAATAATATTATAATTAACTGATATAATCCTGCTCTACACAAATGCATGAGTCATTCAGCCTGAGTTAACCTTTCACACCCAAAGTTGCTAAATATTGCTAACTACAACTCAGTCACACCTAAAACTGAATATTTCATAGTTCAGAAGGCTCTGAACTATGAACTTTTTTGTAACTTTTTGTTTTACAGTTTATTGTTGAGCTTACAGGATCATGAAATTTGGAAGCATGGAATAAGAGATATCAAATCAGTTTTTATACTGTTGTTAAGGAAGCCATATAAGATGGGATTCAGGCAGCAGGACATCATGCCCAGTAAGTGACATATGCAGTATACTAATTTAAAATGCCTATTAGAAATGAGATGGGCATTAAAATCAGTCACAACATGGAAAAGGTGAAGAGGCATCCAACTGACAGCAAAAACTAGTATCAGAGCTGTCAGTCTGCAGAAAACCCTCCGAGATCTTGTCTTAATTCGAGTGATGGATCGGGATACTGTAATTGCATCCTGCGCATCTGAATTTTCTTCTGGTTTCATCTCAAAGCAGATGGGTACCCCTGGTAGGAACTTACTTGAAGAGAGCTGGCTTCTTTCTGTCCCAGAGGTATCTGGGAGGTTTCCAGAATTATTATTCTGTTGATGCCTTAGAATAGCTGGCATCACACTAGAAGTCTTTTTACTGTACCTTCTTCGGTGTTTTCTGACAAATGTATAACTCCATCCAGAACTGCTGGAGAGCTGTGCCTGGGGTCCACTACACTTAGGTGGATGAAGTGTGAGGTTTATCATCTCATTTTCTTCAAATTTGTTTTCCTTGTTTGACAATTTGGAACTTACACTCCTGCAGACACTAGTATGACTTACAGTTAAACAAACCAAGGGTAATATATACTGCATGAATAATAAAGAAATAGTGAAGCTGATTCTGTATGAATCAGATGGCCATGACTCAATACACAAAAGCCTGTTGCCTAGTCCCTCTAGATTAATGGATTCATGGAGATCTACAATTTTGTGGAAAACTGGCAGAGGGGAGCAAATGACACAACCAACAGCCCAGATGGTTGCTATTAAGAAATATCCATGTCTTGCTGTTAAATTACTAGAAAGGGGTTCTTTTATCATATGGTATCGAACCACAGCAATAGATATTAACATTAAAGTTGAAACCAGAACTGACACACATTGGAGGAAAGGCATAATATGGCACATGATTTCTCCAAACACCCATTGATCGAGTAGGACAGATGTCAAAGTAAAAGGTGAGCAGAACAGCACAACTAAAATGTCAGAAAAGGCCAAGTTTCCAATGAGAATGTTTATTATTGTCTTCTGTTTGCGTTTTATTAAAGCCATTAGAATAAGCAGATTTCCCAGAAGACCAACAAGACTTATAAATGTGTACAACCCAATCAGAAAGTACTGTATGTCATCTACACTGCTCTTATAATCTTCCCAGGCAGAAAAATCAGAACTTTTTGTAGTAGCAGAGGTGTTCTCCTTGGCAAGGGTCGTGTCATTTTGGTCTTTGAGTTCTAAATCCATATTACAGTCCTGCTTAGAATCAGAAAGACATTAATTAGCAGCTGAAGAAAAGATGACACTGATTTTAATCATAATTTACAGAAACATCTTTTTTTCTATTACTTTAGCACATTTGAAAGTATTGTGATAACTATATGTTGTAGCAAATCCTGTATGCCTATAAGCTGACATCCATTTAATTTCCATAAATCTTGGCATATGTTGTACAGCCTACCTAAATCTCAACACCTTGCTTCTCATATTTTGCAGTTACAATTTAAAAGTATGCACTGTAAAATGAGCAATTAAAAATCGCTCAGTGTGGGCAAGACCCTAGACCCCTTATGTGAGTGAGCACTTATTCACAAAAGCAGTCCCTATACAGTCACTGGGATTACTCACAAGAAAAACTGCTCATCAGTGTGGGAGGGGTTCACAATCACAGTTTGGCCATAAGGAAAAATCATTTCTCTTACAGGACAACAAATTACACTGGAAGTATTTTAAAATACCTAATATGTTGAAAGATGGAAATCTTCCTTACCTCTAGAAAAGGTTCCTATTGTCCCACTGAGTTCACTGCCTAGCATGGTAATCCCTGAAATGGTAGTCATATTCAACCTGCATCCCTTAATTTGGAATGTTAATGACATTTCAGGGGCAATGCTATAGCCCTTTCTGAGCATATCTATACATACAAGTAATAGTTTCATAGTTTCATATTGCAAAGCAATAAACTCTGGAGTTTATTGCCATTTGAATGTGCACATGGAAGCATAGCACATTGACCTGGGTTGGAGCAGCCCTAGCTGGTAGGGGGTTGGGGGGGGCAGTGCAGAGGGCTGCTTCTCCCAACCCAGCTCAGTGTGCTGGGAATGGGCTGGCTGGAGTAGGAGGGTGCTTCAGTGTGGGGCTAGCCGGCAGGGAGCCCCCACACTGAAGCACTCTCGTGTCCCAGCCAGCCAGGGCAGCGTCTACATGTGCACTGCTAAGGAATCTTATTCTCCACAGCAGGATAGTACTTGCATTTATATAGAGGCACACATTTAGACACCAAGACATTTATTGCACAGCTAATTTTAGTCTACTGTGCATTAAACATCTCATGTAGACATGTCCATTGAGGCATAATTACCACTAACATCATAGGGAAGTTTGTCACAATAGAAGGGATACAGAGGCTTCTAGATTATTCTTATTATGAGATGTATCTATATAATGCTCATGAAGTGCAGGTTTTAGTATTTAATTATTTCTCAAATAATATTTCCAAAAAACTGAAAAGTGAGGGAAAGATAAAGCACAAAAAAGCCACATGGTCACTGGCAGGTGTTCCTAAATTTTCAAGGATCTTTTGAGCAGAAGTTTTGGAGGTCCTACAAAACAAAGTAAGTGTATACAGTATAGAGAAGCCAGTGCTGTTTTTTTTAAATGCAATGACACTGCAATCTTCATATAATTGTTTACTATTTGGGACATATCTAACACATTAGAATCATAGAAAATTAAGGTTGGAGGTGAACTCAGGAGGTCATCTAGTCTGACCCCCTGCTCAAAGCAAGACTATCCCCACCATATCATCCCAGCCAAGACTTTGTCTAGCTTGATCTTAAAAACCTCCAAGGATGGAGATTCCACAACCTCTCTGGGTGGTCCATTCCACTGCTTTGCTATCCTCGTAGTGAGAGAGTTTTTCTTAATTTCCAACCTAAACCTCCCTTGCTGCAAGTTGAGACCGTTGCTCCTTGTTCTGTTATCTGCCATCACTGAGAACAGCCCAACTCCATCCTCTTTGAAATCATCCTTCAGGTAGCTGAAGGCTGGTGTTAAATCCCCCCTCAATCTTCTCTTCTCCAGAATAGATGCACGTATTTTAGAGGGGGTGGCTTATAAAGGCTATGTGGGTCATACAATAGGCTGCATTTGTAAGGAACCTGCATGTATTGGGGTAACAAAATCAAAGAACAAGGGTGGCTTGAAATTCCTAGAAAGTGGAGGCCTGCTTGTGTAATCTGTTTTAGTGCTTTAAAACTTCGGACAAGTTTACTAGTCCTGAGAGATATCAGTTAAAAGGCTAAAGTAAACTCACCTTTCTCCTTTTTCCACTCTTGTATCTGTTTTCATAGCTCTCCAACCTCTCTGACCACCACAGAAAGAACATTTGACCTTTAAATGGGGAGAAATGCCATACCTACCTTCCTCCAGATGCTAATCACCTTCTCAGAGCATACCTTCTTAGTGCACACTGCCAGCGTAGTACCAGTTCTTCCTCCCCTGCAACCCTCAGCTACACACTGTCTCTTCACAGATACTTTCAGATCTAGAGGACGTGGTAGATTTTGGCGGCAGGAGAAAGCAGTGATACATCTAAGGTAGGGCAGCCGGGGTAGCTGCAAGAGGCACCGACTCATGAGCGGAGGTGGGCACAGAAAAAAATGGCTCCCCTTACAGCTGTGTGATTGTGCCAGCAGCATAGCAGCAGCAGCAGCCAGAAGTCACTCCTGTCCCCACGTATAATGGCTGCCCCAGGTTCCTGGCTATCTCATTATGCCTCTGGGAGAAAATAAAGTAAGCATCCCAGTGGGCCAAGCCAAAATGGCTCCTCTAAAAATTGCTGACTGTCCCTCTTATAAATTACAAACCTACCACTTCCCTTGATCACAAAACTTACCTACATAGGGAGCAGAACCTAGAGACCTGGCCAGCTCTTAGGCATAAAGCACTCTAGAAAGGGCTATTTACCACTCGTTTTCATTCATGTAAAAGTCTGCTTCCTCAGTCATCTAAGGTGAGAACTAGTGGAGGCTTTAAGACCTAACTAGACAAAGCCTTGACTGGGATGATCTAGTTGGGGTTGGTCCTGCTTTGAAGAAGGGGGTTGGACTAGATGATGTCCTGAGATCCTTTCCAACCCTAATTTTCTATGATTCTATTTATTAATGAGTATTATATCCACCATTTTCCCATCATCACGTGAGAGGGAGAATAAATAGATTTTGAATCTAGTGATTTTTTATGACAATTTCACAAGTTTGGGATAAAGTGCTACCTAAACACAAACAGGACAAATGTAAGAGCAGGTGGAGCCAATGTAATAATCTAAATACTTTATTCATTATGTCATGGAGGAGTGCATTAGTTTAAAGTATGAATCTTTTTCTGGTCACTAGTGATATGATTGGATAAACTATACGGTGGATAGAATATCTGGTCCTTAAGGTAGTACTAAAGCAATGTGATTTGCAGGTGAGCTAAACTATACATTACTATACTCCCCATTGTTCAGAAGCTTCTGTGAAGGGACACCTTAATTTGGAATTTGGGGGCATTCTAGTTTTTATGGGTTTTCAGATAAGTACAGCATTTTCTTAAAAGACTTAGCTGAAGTCAGTAATAGATTCTGATTTTTCAGAAATGTTCCTAACTACAAATCACCCCAAAACAGTGGGATCTGCAAGTCACGGCTTTTGCATTATGCTGAAAACTCCATTCTGATTTGTGAACAACATTTTGATGCTGTACTGTTCATGGTGCTGTATCCTAGATTTTTGCACCGTAATGTCCATCTTAGCTGGGACCCTGGAAGATTTGTAAGGAGAAATCCTTATATCTAGCAGAAGAGATCTGTAAGAAAGATGCCAAGGGTCCTGAACTTGGACAACCCTCCTGCAGATAGATACATCTCAGAACAAAAGGTTGTCTAGAGTTCAAGGGAGCTAGGTCTGAAGTTGCACTTCTGGTCACCTGACAGGGATTTTTAAACTTTTAAGTCATCATTACATGAAAAGAGAAGCAGAACTTTCTTTACGAGTTGGCTCTTATTAAACCTAAGGTTCTGTCACCAATCAGCAAACAGAAGAGGAGAGTTCAAGAGGGCCCTTTGACCCTGAAAGGATGCTACCTATGGCCAACAAGCTCTTGAAATGATGAGGATGTTGGGGATAGGTTCTGCATAAAAGGGTTTGTTATTTTTGCCTTGATCTGTGCTTTGATTTATGCAGAAGAATTCACAGACAATCTAGGCAATCTTGTTTTACTTCTTGCAGGTAGCTGAAGGATGAAACTATAAACAAGATAACCCAGAAAGATTAAGTCTGGGTTCAGCATATTAAATATATTGTTGTGTCTTAGAATATGGCACTGGTCATAGGGTCTAGGGAAATGAATGCAGTTGCAGCAAATCCCAGTTACACAGCAGGCCAGTTATCCAGCTGAGCTATGGAAATGTACACTGATGTTATAAGCTATGGTTATAGTTAGGGATCATTGTAATTCAGGCTCTGGCAGGGGGACAAGCTGGCTCCCTGTAGGCTCGCTGGAGCTGATTTCAGGCATTTTTCAGGGTGGGCTCTCCCACACCTCTAATTGGCTGAGAGAACCACTTCTCTGCCATGCTACACAGAGAATGGGAGGGGGAAATTCCTCACCATTCCTGCACGTCAGCAAACCAAAGCAAGGCTCAGCAGAGCCCTGCCGGGAAGGAAGAAGTGCTTGTGCCCCATGCCTGGGTGTGGGAGCAGGCACCCAACATAGTTATGAGTTGGGTTGGAGCAGCCCAGGATGGCAGGGGACCTGGGAAGTCAGCCTACCAGCCTAAGGTTGGTCCCACTGGGCTCAGTGTGCTGTGGAGGGGCTGGCTGGGGCATGAGGGGCTTTAGACTGAGGCTAGCCAGCAGGCAGCCCCTGCACTGAAGCACCCTCAGCTGGGTCAGCATTGACATGTGAGCTGCAGTGCATGAAAAACTACCCTGCTGCAGAGTGTATTAGTTTCCTGAGTCCTAATAGGACTGCATGTGTAGATGATGAGACATTTACTGTGGAGCTAAATAGTCAGCTTCACAGTAACCATCTCATGTAGATGCACCCAGTAAGTCCCTGCTTATGAAGTGTATGCATCTCTGATTAGTTAGTCTATAAGGTGCAAACGTACCCTGCCTTCTGCCTAACTTCAGACTAAAACAGCTTCTTCTCTGTGCTCATACATACATTAAAGCAAGAATATCCATCATGAACTAGAAAATTCCTTCCTTGAATCTGGTTAATTTATACCAAATTACATATTTTAATTTTCACTCATCTTTTTATGAGTACTTTAGTCCTCTTTTTCCTTCCCCAAATTATGCTTCAAGAGGTTTTTGGAAATCTAAATTGATCTAAGGCCTTAAAATGAAAAAGGAGTTTAAAATACCAGCTAATCTCACAGTCTCCTGGCATACTATGTTTAATGTGATTTAAGATTAATCTTATTGTTCTGCCTTAAGACTTTTGATTATTTAAAAATGCAAAATTAAATAATCCATAAATCAGAGTTTTGGAGGATAAATAGGATGCAAAGTTTTTATGTTTGCAGAAGGTTTTAAAAGGGAAAATCTTAAAGATACAAAAGGCAGTTAGGCACCAACTTCCACTGAAAGCAAACAGGAACTAGGTATTACATTTCTCCCTCTGAGAGTTTTCTTCATATTAAATGAGACTCCTCTAGGCATGTGTATTGAAAACTGTCCTTTTCTGGTGTTGTTAATACATTTTAACTCAGCTTTAACTGGTTTGGGCCTGTTTAATCTAGTGTCCATAATTGTTCAGTAATGTTATTAGGGACTAGCAAGCGTTGAACAAATGATAGACTCCCAGAAATTTATCATTAGCCCCATTCACCCCCCACTATTAAACAGAATCTCCCCCTCCCAAAATACACACAATAAAATTAAAACATTACCGCAGTATCAAGGCTGTGCAGTTAAGTGCCCAGAAAATAAAAGAGTTGAACACCGCAGCCTTAATGCTGCTTTGTTGTAGGCAAGTATTATGATGGTCTATGATTACATACCCGCTAATTATCTGTGCTTGTAGAAAGCTCACTGAATTACGCTGTATTGTTTAAGAAACAATGTCATCATGTAAGTAAAGACTATTGTACCACTCGTGAGCCACAGGACAGAGTTAAGGTTGTGCGTTCACATTATACAGATTCAAGAATTAGAGCTACCATTCCAAATGTTTCTGTTCTTTGACTTGTACAATCAGTGCATTCAGCGGCAAACTCCATTTTAAGAACACTTGAGATTTCAAATAAGAGTAAGATCATTTCAACGCTCCACATAAAAGTGGCTTCTTGTGTGCTAATGTGGCATCTGTTAAAGTGGCCAGGGCTGATTTAAAAAAAAAAAGGCAGCTTTCCATCCTGTAAAACAAGACTATAGCTTCCCACTGAAGGCAAACTAATCAGTTAAGTAACAATATCCCTCCAAATGCATGCAAAGGGATGTGATGTAAGGTAAGGTGACCCTTCCCTGATCGAAAAAGGGCTACACTCTGTTGCTAGCTGATGAACTTCTGAGTGCCTATAGAGTAAGGTAACTACCTTCTAGAGATGATGATGATAACATGGTGATAAGGATGCTAATGACCTTAAGATAGGCACCTGCTTTTTTTTTAAATTCAGGGAATCCCGGTAGACGTTAGTTCAAACAAATTAAAAGCAAGGAGTCTCACCCCGGTAATTACATGGTAATTAAGCACCTATCTCATCTGAGGAGATGCCGGTCTCCAAACGCTGCCCAGTGCAATGTCCCCAGCGGAGCCGATAAAAGGATCCTTGTCGAGGTGTCTAGGAGGTGGAGGACGGCAGGGAAGGCTTTCACAAGGCCGGCGTTTAGAAGAAGTCAGAGGACAACATGAGCCGTGACTACGGGTTCAAACGCAAGCCGCTGCCCCCGGACCGAGGGGATCGCGCTAGTCCCGGATGCTGAGGGATCGCCTGTCCCACGGGGACCCGAGAGGACAGCGTCATCCCGGGACCTGAGGGGGACCACCTAACCCAAGGACCGAGGGGATCGCGCTAGTCCTGGCTCCTCAGGGATCGCCCATCTCAGGACCCGAAGGGATCGCGCTAGTCCTGGATGCTGAGGGATCGCCTGCCCACAGGGACCAGAAGGGATCGCCCATCCCAGGGACCCGAAGGGATCGCGTTATCCCGGGACCCGAGGGGGGTCACCTTATCCCAAGGACCGAAGGGATCGCGCTAGTCCTGGCTCCTCAGGGATCGCGTTATCCCGGGACCCGAGGGGGATCACCTTATCCCAAAGACCGAGGGGATCGCGCTAGTCCTGAATGCTAAAGGATCACGTTATCCCAGGGACCCGAGGGGATCGCGTTATCCCAGCCTCCAAGGGGATGGCGCTAGCCCCGGATGCTGGGGGATCGTCCATCCCAGCACCCGAGGGGACGGCGCTATCCCTGGGGATGGAGCAGGGCCGGGCCGAGGGCGCTGCACCCCCAGTCCCCGGCCCCAGGGCAGGCAGACGGCGCCGGGGGCGTCCGCTTCCCCGCCCCAAAGCCTCGCCAGCCGGTTCCGCGG